TAGCCAGGTATGGTGGTGCATACCTATAGTTCCAGCTACTTGGAAGGCTGAGGCAGAAGGCTTGCCTAGCCCAGCAGGTGGAGGCTGTGGTGGCCGTGAGTGTGCCACTGCACTCCAGCTAGGGCAATAGAGTGAGAGTCCAACTCAAAACACATACACACACACACACACACACACACACACACACACACACACACATACTAGGAGAGGCTAATTGTGCTCAACTCTGAATACATGAGGGTACCCTAAAAAAAAACCCAGAATTGTCTTTTGGAGGGCGAGTCCCTTTAATACACCCAGAATTTGTTCCTCCATATCAAACAGTCAACCAAAATTTTCATCTGGAAGTTCTGAGAAATTTGGGTTACAATTTGCAGAAGAAATGTCCCGAATTGGGGCAAACAGGTGACTGGCTCTGCCACCATGACAACACACCTGCCCACACCGAGCTGCGTATTCAGCAGTTTTTGACCAAAAACAGCATGACCCCTGTACCCCACCCTCCCTATTCACCTGATCTCAAGCGACTTTTTATTTGTTTCCCCGGATGAAAAAAAGTCCTCAAAGGGAAATGTTGATGTGGAAGAGGTGAAACAAAAAACGGCAGAAAAGTGCTAAAAGGCATCAAAATGGACGAGTTTAGAAACAGTTTTGAGCTGGGCGCAATGGTTCACACCTGCAATCCCAGTACTTTGGGAGGCGAGGACAAAAGGACTGCCTGAGCCCAGAGGTTCAAGACCAGCCTGGGCAACTTGACGAGGCCTCATCTCTCCAATAAATTTTTAAAAATTAGCCAGGGGTGTTGGCACATGCCTGTGGTTCCAGCTACTTAGAAGACTGAGGCAGAAGGATCACCTGAGCCCAGCAGGTCGAGACTATGGTGGCCATGAGCATGCCAATGCACTCCGGCCTGGGCAACAGAGTGAAACTCCAACTCAAAAACAAAAACAAACTATTTTGAGCAGTAGAAAAGTGTCTTGAAAGGTGTATGGCATCAAATAAGAGTACTTTGAAGATGACTGAAGTTTATTTTTATTTATTTTTAATTTTTGAGTCAGAGTCTCACTCTGTCACCCAAGCTGGAAGCCCAGCACTTTCAGAGGCTGAGGTGGGAGGATCGCTCGAGCTCAGGAGTTCAAGACCAGCCTGGGAAACAAGATGAGACCTGGTGTCTACAAAAAATTAGCCAGGTGTGGTGGTGCACACTTGTAGTTTCAGCTACTCAGGAGGCTGAGGCAGAAGGATCACCTGAGCCCAGCAGGTCGAGGCTGTGGTAGCGGTGAGCATGCCACTGCACGCCAGCCTGGGTGACAGAGTGAGACTCCAACTCAAAAAAAAAAGGCGGGCACAGATCTCCAGCGTGGTCTGAGAGGAAGCCTTGATCAGGAGCTGTGAGCCATGAGCCTCGGTTTCCTCTACCTCCCTCTCAGCCCCTTTGCCCTCCCAAAGCGTAAATTGAATTCTTGCACCGCTCCGTCTTCCACAAAGGCTGGGCTCAGTTTCACTGGGATAGATTTCGGCTTTGAAGTGAGTGCCATTTCTTGCCCAGAGTCCTGGGCAAGCTGAAATGCAGTTCTTGTCTTTTCCTCCCAGGGAAACCCTCAGCATGAGGAAAACCCAAAACCCCAAGGGAAGTGGATGTCTAGACCAGGCACGTCCAACCCGCGGCCCGAGGGCCCCACGCGGCCAGGACAGCCAGTCATGTGGCCCCACAAAGTCTTTCCACAGCACGTGTATTTTAGCGTTTATTTTCTTCGTGATCCCCTGCGCCGTTCCACTTTCAAGGTTCACAATCACACCTTGCTCGTGATGTTGTTTTCTGACAGCACATGCACTGGTGAGCAGCTGTTTTCCATGATGAAGCGTGTGGACAGCAAAATCCCAGCAAACATTTCCAACAAGCCACTGGAGAACTCACTCAGAGTTGCGGCCACGTCTTTCGAGCCAGACATTGGTAGATTAGTCTTAGAAAAACGAGGTCAAATTTCTCACTGGTTTTAAATTGTTCTCATTTTTCTAAACTTTATCATAAAAATATTTTTAAAACTCTTCCGGGAACGTTGTCCAAAGGCATTCAGAATGGTCCAGCGTTTAACATTCCCATTGTAGGCTTTCCTACAATACATACAGCCTCTAACAAAACTAGGCCGTCCCGAGTCCCTGGTAACAGGGTTGTTTACCTATATGCCAAGAAGGTTGGGAAAGCAGCAAAGTCGCGTGTGGTGTGTGTCCAGGCAGACTCCAAGGGGTCTGTGCTGTGAGACCTACAGTTCTTGTGAGGTTGTCCAAAACAAAAAAACACATCAGCAGGGTCTACGGCAGTTCCATGTGTGCAAAATGTGTTCGTGACAGGATCAAGCATGCTTTCCTTATCAGGGAGCAGAAAATCATGTGAGAGCAAAATAAAGAAATGAAACTTCTGTTTCTGTTATAAAAATTAAAAGACTTGTTCTATAAAAAAAAATGTTTTAAAGCAATCTTATGTGTAAACACTAGCTATATTATACAATTTATGTGCAGCCCAAGTCATCTTTACTCCACACGAACCAGGGAAGCCAAGAGGTTGGACACCCCTGGTCTACAGAGAAAACGTCTAGAAGCTGAGACCCAAACTCGAGGGGATAGCCAGGAAGGCGGCATGTTGCTGGTTTGGGTCCCCACCGGTTTTTCTTTTTTTTTTCCCCTCTCTCTTTTTAAATTTTTTTATTTTAAAGATGTGGGGTACAATTCAGGGTTAGGTATACAAATGTTCATTATGCAGGTTCCCTTGTTGATGAAGTGTGCCCCCCCCCCAACAGATTCCCACTACTGCCAATCCCGCCTCCCCACTTCCCCTGGCAGTTTCCTGCTACTGCCAATCCTTTTTGTATAGTATTACGATAATTGTTCAAGGTCTGCTTATGAGTGAGAACATATGATACTCAGTTCTTCGTTTCTGTGATACATCACTCAGTATTATAGACTCTAAGTCCATCCAGGTTGCTGCGAAGTTCATGATTTTGTTCTTTATGGCTGTGTAATATTCCATTGTGTATATGTTCCACCTTTTTTTTAATCCAGTCCTCTTTTGATGGGTAGCACTGTTGGTTCCATGTTCCTGCTATTGTGAACAATGCTGCAATAAACATACGTGTGCAGGTATCTTTTTTATAGAGTGATTTGAATTCTTCCGGGTATATTCCCAGTAGGGGGATTGAGGGGTCATATGGAAGGTTGATTTTTAGATCTTTTAGGAATCGTCACATTGTTTTCCACAGAGGCTGTACTAGTTTACACTCCCGCCAACAGTGTAGAAGTGTTTCCTTTTCGCCACATCCTCTCCAGCATCTGTTGTTTTTTGAGTTATTGATGATGGCCATCTTGATTAGAGTTAGGTGGTATCTCAGTGTGGTTCTAATTTGCATTTCTTTGATGACTAGTGAGGCTGAGCATTTTTGCATGTATCTCTTGGCTGCTTGTATGTCTTCTTTTGAGACGTGTCTATTCATATCTTTTGCCCACTTTGTAATGGAGCTGTTTGTTTTTTTCCTTTTCAGCACATTTGAGTTCCTTGTAGATCTTAGATGTTAAGCCTTTGTCAGACATACAGTTGGCAAATATTTTTTCCCAGTTTGTGGGCTGTCTCCCTGCTCTCTTGATGGTTTCTTTGGCTTTGCAGAAACTTGTCAGTTTGATGAGGTCCCTCTTGTCTATCTTATCTCTTATGGCATGGGCATTTGGGGTTTTGATCAGAAATTGGCTGTCAGTTCCAATTTCCATAAGGGTGTCTCCTGCATTTTCTAAGGTTCTTATAGTTTGAGGTTTTATGTTTAGGTCTTTGACCCATTTAGAGTTGATTTTTGTGTATGGGGATAGGTAGGGGTCTTGTTTCAATCTTCTGCATGTGGGCAGCCAGTTTTCCCAGCACCATTTATTAAGTCTCCTCTCCCTAATGGTTGGTGGTGGAAGTTTTGTCAAAGATAAACCGGTTGAGAAATTGAGGTTTTGCTTCTGGATCCACCAGTTTTTCTAATACAGTACACCAGAAGTGAAAAGCCAAAGGCAACCATGAGACCAGGTACGGCACCCAGCACAAGGCCTGCCACGTTGTAGTTGCTTCATTAGTATTTGTTTAATAAATTAATTCAAAAGTCTGTTGCTATCTCTAAACACTACCCCGGTAAGATATAGAGGCTGACATCGGCTACCACATGGATGAACCTTGAAAATATGATGCTATGCTAAGTGACCGGGCTCGGTGGCTCACACCTGTCATCTTAACACTTTCAGAGGCAGAGGTGAGAGGATTGCCTGAGCCAAGGAGTTCCAGACCAGCCTGGGCAGCATAGCGAGACCTACAAAAAATTAGCCAGGCATGGTGGCGCATGCCTGTAGTCCCAGAAACTCAGGAGGCTGAGGCAGGAGGATTGCCTGAGCCCAGGAAGTTGAGGCTGCAGTGAGCTGTGATAGTACCCCCGCACTCCAGCCTGGGCAACAGAGTGAGACTCTGGCTCAAAAAAAAAAAAAAATTGAAAAGTACCAAGCCAGACACAAAAAGACAACGGTCGTGTGGCTCTACTTACATGAAGAACCTAGAACAGACAAACTCATGGAGACAGAGAGGATTACACATGATCCGGGCGGGGGCGGGTGGCTTACGGTTTCAGTTTGGGGTGCTGAAATGTTCTGGAGGCAGGTGTTGGGGAGGGTGCCATGACATCGCAAATGCACTAATGCCGCCGAATTGCACACTTCAGAATGATCACAGCAGGATGTGTTATGTTCTGTATAACTTGTCACAATAAAAAAATTTTTTTAAGGATGTTGGGCACATTCTGCTCAAGTTGAATTTTTGAAAAACTGAAGTAGCTTAACCGGGCGAAGTGGCTCACGCCTATAATCCCAGCACTTTGAGAGCTGAGGCAGGAGGACTGCTTGAGTCCAGGAGTTCCAGACCAGCCTATGCAACATAGCGAGACCTCATCTCTATGAAAAATAAGAAAGTCAGCTGAGTGTGGTGGTGCATGCCTGTAGTCCCAGCTTCTTGGGAGGCTGAGGCGGGAGGATGGCCTGAGCCCTGAAGTTGGAGGCTGATGTGAGCCATGATCATGCCACTGCACTCCAGCCTGGGCAACACAGTGAGACCCTCAACTCAAAAAAAAAATGAGGTGGTTTGCTGGGTTTTAGGGCAGCAGAATCAAGAAATGATGCTCCCAAACCAGGATTAGAAAAAGGAATCATCACAACCAACTTTACTTCAAACCCAAGAGGTTTTATTGGTGCCAACTCCCTAGAGCCCTAGTAGGGGTGGTCACGAACGTGCTCCATGATGGTCTTCAAGCCCAACCAGGTCTCCTCGGCTGTGGGCAGGATCTGGCTGGCCGGCAGAAGGAAGCCGTAGCGTCCTGTGTCTCTCAGCTCGAAAGCAAAGGAGTACTTGATGCCCGAGTCGTAGGACCAGTCAATGCTGCCCCCACTCGCCTGGTCTGAAGGACAGAGGAGAAGGAAGCCAGGTCACACCACCCAGCTGGCCTCCACAGCCACGTGACCTCTCCTATTCTACCACCATCAACAAGCCAGATCCCTCTATGTGTGAACTGTGAGAGAGAGGTCGTTCTGTAGAGGTCACGCTTATGAAAAAATACAAGGATACTTCGAAAAGCAAAAGGTATATTCACATGAATACTATAGGGTTGGGTGTGGTGGTGTACATCTGTCATCCCAGCACTTTGGGAGGCTGAGGTGGGAGGATTGCTTGAGGCCAAGAGTTCGAGACCAGCCTGGGCAACATAGTGAGATCTCATCTCTATAAAATATCAAAAATAGCCAGGCTCGGTGGCTCAGCCTGTAATCCCACGCCTTAGGAGGCTGAGGTGGGTGAATTACATGAGCCTGCGGGTTCAAGACCCACCTGGGCAACTTGGTGAGACCTCTTCTCTACAATAAATCAAAAATTAGTTGGGCATGGTAGCGCACGCCTATAGTTCCAACTACTTGGAAGGCTGAGGCAGAAGGATCGCCGGAGCCCAGCAGGTCGAGGCTGCGGTGGCCGGAAGCGGCCGCGGCACTCCAGTCTGGGTGACAGAGTGAGACTCCGATTCAAAAAATAAAAATACAAATAAAAATAAAATAAAATATCAAAAAGATTATCTGGGCATGGTGGCACATGCCTGTAGTCCCAGTTACTCCAGAGGCTGAGACAGCAGGATCCCTTGAGCCCAGGAGTCTGAGGCTCCAGTGAGCTGTGATCACGCCACTGTGCTCCCACATGAGCAACAGAGTGCGACCCAGCCTCAAAACAACAACAAGAACAACAAAAACCAAATTGGCCAGGAGCAGTGGCTCATGCCTGTCACCCGGCACTTTGGGAGGCAGAGGCCAGAGGATCACCTGAGCTCAGAGATTCGAGACCAACCTGGGCAGCTTGGTGAGACCTCGCCTCTACAATAAATCAAAAATTAGCCAGGCGTGGTGGCCATGGGTCTGTAGTTCTGGCTACTTGGAAGGCTGAGGTGGAAGGATCGCCGGAGCCCAGTAGGTTGACGTTGGGGGGCCCGTGAGTATGCCACTGCACTCCAGCCTAGGCAACGGAGTGAGACTCTGACTCAAAAATAATAATAATAGGCCAGGCATGGTGGTTCAGCCTATAATTCCAGCACTTTGGGAGGCCAAGGTGAGTGGATTGCCTGAGCCCATGGCCGGGGCGACAGAGTGAGACTCTGACTCAAAATAAAAATAAATAAATTTTAAAAAGCCAAATGGACTCAGCCTGCCTTCAGAGTTCTTGGCGCCTCGGTTTCACCCACCCACTTGGAGTCCTGCCTGCTGTTCACCGGTGTGTCCTCACCTGGGGAGGCCACACCACCTTCTCCTTCAGAAGACACAGACCTGATTTCTCTAGCGGGAGGAGAAGGATGTGCCTGGATAAGGGAGCTGGGCCCTGCCCTCAGGGGAATCTCGGCATCAGGGGAGGGGCGGGTGCTGCTGCCACCCAACGTCATGCTCGGCACCTCTGAGGGGAGGGTGTGGCCAGCAGTAATGGGCACCTGAGACGTGTGGGGCCGCTAACGTGACAGGTGAGGAAGGAAGCTGGTATCAGCCCACGGGGTCATCATAACTCACGAGAGTTGAGCCATGAGTGGCCCTGAGGCCCTCCCAGGAAGGGCAGGTAGGCCACATGGAGGACGTCACTCTGATAGAGTCAGCAGAAGCCACCTAGTCCCGGAGAACGGGGCTAGGAAGACCAGGGGGAGGGGTGGGTAGTGAAGCAGGACAGGGTGCCACTAAGGCTGGGTGTAATGGCTCATGCTGGTAATCCCAGCACTTTGGGAGGCTGAGGAGGGAGGATCGCTTGAGGCCAGGAGTTCGAGACCAGCCTGGGCAACATAGCAAGACCCTGTCTCCACAAAACATTTTCTAAAAGAGCGTTTAAAGAGTAGGACTAGGGGTGAATATTGTGAATTAACACTGTGAATGCCTGCGACTTATGTCTTTGCCTTCCCCTAGAGCACCTTGTCTGTACCTGTCAATAACACTAAATGGTTGCTGACTTGAACTGAGTCTTCCCTGGATACCAACATGACTCACTCACTAAGAGGTCTGCCGTGGACTTCGGAATGGATCCTGATCCTACAAATCATCAACCAGTGACCCAAGGATTGCTTGAGCCCAGGAGTTCGAGACCGCCTGGGCAACATAGCAAGACCTCGTTTCTACAATAAATAAATAAAAATTAGCTGGGCAGAGTGGTGCGTGCCTGGAGTCCCAGCTACCCAGGAAGCTGAGGTGGAAGGATCGCCTGAGCCCAGAGGTCGAGGCTGCTGTGAGCTGTGATCATCATGATCGTGCCACTGCCCTCCAGTCTGGGCGACAGAGTGAGACCCTGACCACACTGAGGATCCGAGGTATCTGGGGAGAGCAGTTCACCAGGAAACTAGCAACGAATGTCTATACTGTGCTTCCAAGTTCCTCGACACTTTTAGGCTACATACCGTCTGTTGAGGCTCTCAACAACCTAGTTCACGGATGAGAAAACCAAGGAAGGGGAGTGACCAACCCAAGGTCATATGGCCACTCAGGCCTTTGGCCCCAAGCTGTGGTTTTTTTCTCCTATCCCTCCCCGAGAAAGAACTCAAGGAACAACTTCTGGCCCCCACACCTGTTGCAGCACAGATGAGAACTGCCAGGAAATGTCTCACCCGTGACAGATGCCCAGCTGCCTCCAGGCGGAGCACTCCAGGTGTTCAGCCCAGGGCTGCATGCCAGCCCAGGGCAGGAAGCTAAAAGCACTTAATTGGGATGAGGCCTCAGAGGCAGTGCTTGTCCAAGCTGGCACAAGGTCAGCTTAACAGAGTCAGTGCTGGGCAGGGATGCAGCCAGAACTCGGTTGGTCACCAGTAGTCAGGCTCCAAAGAACATACAGCACTTGTCTGATATTTGCTCATTAGAAATATCTTCAGGCCGGGTCCCCCAGCTCACACCTGTCATCCCAGTCACTTGAGGCCAAGACAGGAGACTTGCTTGAGCCCAGGAGTTTGAGACCAGCCTAGGTTTGAGTTTGAGACGAGACATAGTTACTATAAAAATAAAAATAAGTTAGCCAGGTGCGGTGGCTCATGCCTATAATCCCAGCACTTCGGGAGGCCAAGGTGAGAGGATGGCCTGAGCCCATGGGTTCAAGACCAGCCTGGGCAACTTGGAGAGACCTCATCTCTACAATAAATCAAAAAATTAACCGGGCGTGGTGGCGCATGCCTGTAGTTCCAGCTACTTGAAAGGCTGAGGCAGAAGGATCACCTGAGCCCAGCAGGTCGAGGCTGCAGTGGCCAGAAGCATGCCACTGCCCTCCAACCTGGGCAACAAAGTGATACTCCAACTCAAAAAAAAAACAAAAACAAAGAAAAACAAACAAACAGAAAGTTAGCTGGGCGTGGTGGTGTACTCCTATAGTCCCAGCTACTCAGGAGACTAAGGCAAAAGGATCACCTGAGTCCAGGAGGTTGGGGCAGCACCGAGCCATGATCATGCCACTGCACTCCAGCCTGGGCAACAGAGTGAGACCCCAACTCAAGAAAAAAAAAAAGAAATACCTTCAATACCTCACCAAAGAAAGCACACTAAATCTTGACCTTCCAAGACCTGCCTTATTTGTAAATATCTCCAGATGAGGTGGCTGAAAACTAGACTTCTTGAGCCCCGTGGGAGTCCCCGGGGAACAAGTGCCATTGTGTTGACATTCGGAACTCCAGCCTCCCCTCAAGGGTTGTTAAAGTGGCCATCATGGTCTCAAACTGGGCCCACCCCTGTCTCCCCACTGCCAGCACTCAGAGGGCCCCTCCTACCTCGCGGCTCCCCCAGTGAAAGTGAGAACAATCCCATGTGGATCACGGCTAAAGACATCTCCGCAACTGTGAGCAGATCAGTCTTCCCAGAGAACAGACTAGAAAATAGGGACAAGAGCCCCAGAGCTGTCCATTCCACCTGACTGGGTCATCTCGCCTTGGGAACATGCCCCAAAGGATCATCAAACAGCAGAAGGGTTCTGTACACACATGTTCAAAGCAGCACGACTTAGTCCAGAATCGAAACAATCCAAAGACTCAGTCACGAGGACAATGCCATACAACAGAAAGCAAATACCTCGCGGATAAACACATTACTCAAGAAGTGGCGCTAACTTTAAAAAGCGGAACACAAAATAAAACACAGGCTTTGATTACAAGCTTATAAACGTACCTGGGTTCACTGACAAAAATAATTAATGAAACGGAAATGAGGCTGGCCCCGGTGGCTCACGTCTGTAATCCCAGCACTTTGGAAGGCAGAGACTAGAGGATTTCTTGAGCCCAGAGGTTTGAGACCTGCCTGGGTGACTTGGCGAGACCTCATCTCTACAATAAATCAAAGAATTAGCTGGGCGTAGTGGCATGCGCCTCTAGTTCCAGTTATTTGGAGGGCTGAGCGGAAGGATTGCCGGAGCCCAGTGGGCTGAGTCTGTGGTGACCGTGAGCATACCACTGCACTCCAGCCTGGGTGACAGAGTGAGACTCCAACTCAAAAAAGCAAAAACAAAAACACAAAATGGAAATGATAATAAAACATGATGGTCATTAAATTTTTTTAAGTAAAGTTTTGAAAATGCATCATAAATAACAAAGAAAACAAAAGCAACTCTCATGACATTTAATATTATCAGATCAGCAGCTTTTGTATTTCCATGAAGTACTCTTGATATAGTGAGTAAAATTTCACTCTTCTGCTCTCCAAGACTCCCATTAAGAAAACGATACTAGCCAAGTGCAACGGCTCATGCTTGTAATCCCAGCACTTTGGAAGGCCGAGGAGAGAGGATTGCTTGAACCCAGGAGTCTGAGACCAGCCTGGGCAACATAGCGAGACCTCATCTCTACAAAAATAAAAAAAATTAGCCAGGCGTGGTGGTGCATGCCTGTAGTCCCAGCTACTTGGGATGCAGAGGCAGAAGGATCACCTGAGCTCAGGAGGTTAAGGCTGCAGTGAACCATGATTGTGCCACTGCATTCCAACCTGGGTGACAGAATGAGACCTCGACTGAAGGAAGGGAGGAAGGGAAGAGAGAAGAGAAAAAAGAAGAAAAAGAGAAAAAGAAAACCATGACTAATGCGTGGAATACGTTTTCTGATACTTTTGCACCATGCATAGCCTACTGGTACATATGTCACACTAAAGCTCATTGTCTTCCTGTTCACCTCTCCTATTAAAGAGCTCTTTGAACACAGCATGGTGGCTCAAACCTGTCATCCCAGCACTTTGAGAAGTGGAGGTTAAAGGATTGCCTGAGCCCAGGAGTTCGAGACCACCCTGGGCAACTTGGTAAGACCTTGTCTCTACAATATATCAAAAAATTAGTCAGGCATGGTGGCGCATACCTGCAGTTCAAGCTACTTGGAAGACTGAGGCAGAAGGACCACCTGAACCCAGCAGGTCGACGCTGCAGTAGCCATAATCATGTCACTGTGCTCCAGCCTGGGCGACACAATGAGATGCCAACCCAAAAATAAATAAATAAATAAATAAATAGAGCTCTTTGTCTTTGGGAGGCTGAGGCAAGAGAATTGCTTGAGCCCAGGAGTTCGAGACCAGCCTGGGCCATATAGCAAGAACTCATTTCTAATTTTAAAAAAGGAAAAAGTGCTCTCTGCAGGTTCGCAATATCTCCAGTACTTGGCATAATGTACTTAGCACACAGTAGATGCTTAATAAAAGCATGCAGAGCAGAACGGGTGCCTACTGAAAGCACTGGCTTCTCATGGACCCTTGGAGTGCAGGGGACTCCTGGGCACGGGCTGCATGATCCTGAGTGTCTGGCTTTCTCCCTCAGGAAGGGACTAAGCCTCTGAGGATTCCAAACCTGCACAGGAGTATACCAGGGCTTCCCACAGCACTGGGGCAGTGCCTTGTGTTATACCAGTCCTCTGGGGGAGAAGGGAATCCAGGAAGTCTGAAGGCAGGATTCCTGGACTTACTCCTGACATTGCTGTTATTTCTGACTCATCCTCCTTCATGTCCACATATTCCACGTGAATAAATGGCTGCAACAAAATCTCATCCTCTGAACTTGGGGTCCCCAGCCCCCAGGCTACGGAACGGTACAGATCATGGCCTGTAAAAGACCGGGCCGCACAGCAGGAGGTGAGCAGCAGGCAAGTGAGTGAAGCTCCATCTGGCTTTACAACCACTCCCCATCACTTGCATGACTGCCTGAACTCCGCCTCCTGCCAGATCAGTGTGAGCATTAGATTCTCACAGGAGACGAACCCTATTGTGAACTGTTCATTCGAGGCATCTAGGTTGCACACTCCCCATGAGACTCTGATGCCTAATGATCTGAGGTGGAGCTGAGGCAGTGACAGCAGTAAGGTTTGAACGCATATCCCTCCTCCCACCTAACCCCACCCCACCTCTCCAACCATGGAAAAACTGTCTTCCACAAAACCATTCCTTGAGGCCAAAAAGGTCGAGAACTGCTGTTCTGAACCACCTGGGTCCTTCTAAAGACTCACACCCATTCTGTTCCCACAGTCCATGGAATTCCTCAGGGCATGAGCTCCTCTTAGCCAAGAAAGGGAAGATTAACAAAACAGCATGACATAGGACCAGGTCTTGATAAAGGCCTATTTTTAGGCAAAGAGATTCCCTGTAATGAGAGGGAGCTATAAGGATCAGGACAGGCAAGGAGGCGCCCAAAACTCAGATGTGGAGGGAGGTTTCTGTTCTAGCGACCACACGATCTTGTGAAGGAGACAAGATTTGCTTGGGAAAGTGGGCACGAGTGGGCTCCATGCAAGAAGACCTATCCCTTTACCATCAAGACATTGTAAAGCTTTGGCCCAAACCCACATGGCGCCTGCCATCTTAGTGGGTCATTTGCAGAAACTTCTAGCACATCAGATACTTACAGATGACTGAGCAGATCGGTCCCACTTTGTACTTGGTGCCATGCAGGCTTGTCACAGCTTGGGCAGCCTTTTGGGCCACTTCATTCTAGAAGGAGAGAACCAAAGAAAGGGGGGTGGGTAGCTGTTGTCTCTCAGAGATCAGATGCCTGACAGCAGAATGTGGAACGACTAGGTCTGCAAGCTAGACTTGCTGGTTCATTGAGTTGAAAGCACAGGTATCTCTTGGTTTCAACCATTTTCACCAAGAAGTAAGCACACATTCACTTCCGACGGCTTTGAAGACACAACACGAAGACCTTCGTTGTTCTCTCGGCCATCCTGGTGCTCACACCACTCCTGGGCTTGTGATGCTGCCACCGGCTCTCCTTGTTCAGGAAGATGGATGGCAGTCAGGTGGATGCATGGACTGGTCCCGGGACACACACGGGGAGCCGATTTTGTCTTTACTAGATCCCTACATTGGCTTTTTTCCCTGTGACTCTCACTTTTTCCAAGTAGTAGGGCTCAGCAAAAATATTTTGTTACTTGAGGGTTCCAATTTTGACTGATTGAGGCTTTACTGTCCTTGTCAGGGATAAATGTAAGGTCTTGAACTTGAGTCCAGGAAAACAACTGTACAATTACCAGATGGGGGAACCTGGCTCTGCAGAATCCCCAGAGAGCCTGGGGGTTTCTGTTTTCTGATCCCAACATGAGTCAACAGCACAGTGCTACTGCCAAAAAACAAACGTGACCCTCAACTGTGTTAACAGAAGTGCATGGTCTGGCAGAGAGCCGTCATGGTCACGCTCTGCTCTGCACTGCTTAACTCACAACATGAATTCCACATTCACTTCTGGGAGCCACCTGCTCCTGGTGTGGATGCTTGTTCCGCTCCCCCCAACCTCATGTTGAAATGGGGTCTGCAATATTGGAGTGGGGCCTGACGGGAGGTGTTTGAGTCATGAGGTCAGATCCCTCATAAATGGCTTGGTGCCATCCTTGTCCTTGCGGTCACGAGTGAGTTCTCACGCTACGAGTTCCCATGAGAGTTGGTTGTTAAAAGGGCCTGGTACCTTCTGCTCTCTCGCGCTTCCTCTCCTGTCATGCAATCTGGGCACATGCCAGCTGCCAGCTGCCTTCCATGAGTAGAAGCAACCTGAGACTTTCACCAGATATCCGAACTTCCAGCCAGCAGAACTGTGAGCCAAATAAACCTTTTTTCTTAATAAACTACTGAGAGTCAGGTATTCCTTTATAGCAATGCAAATAAATTAAGACATAAACCTTGAGGAACACAGACAAGCCAAAGCACATTCTACCTCTCTATACAGAAATGGTCTAACAATCCAATCTGCTCCCAGGCCAGGTGGCTCACATCTATCATCCCAGAACTTTGGGAGGCCAAAGTGGGATGACTGCTTGAGCCCAGGGGTTCAAGACCAGCCTGGGCAACTTGGTGAAACCTCGTCTCTACAATAAATCAAAAAATTAACTGGGTGTGGTGGCACGTCTGTAGTCCCAGCTATTTGGCAGGCTGAGGCAGAAGGATTGCCTGAGCCCAGCAGGTCGAGGCTGCAGTGGTCATGAGTGTGCCACTGCAATCCAGCCTGGTCAAGAGAGCAAGACTCTACTCAAAAACAAAAACCTGCTCCCACATGGAATAGGCACATGGAAGCAGGAAGTCATCCAATCATATGCCAGATGACTGACTACCTGATAGAAATTTGAGCACCAGCTATGGATAATTGAAGGTTACCTACCTCTACTACACGAACATTTCAGGCTCCTTCCAACCCTGACATTCTTTTTCCCTGATTTGACCTTGAATGATAATACCATCAAAACCCTACAGAGTTCAAATCCAGCTGCTAAAAGACACACCTGAACTGGAATAACCTACTCCATTTCTGCCTGGGGCTGCTAACGATAATCTCTGTGAAGGTAAATAGACCAAAAAATGATCCACCAGGAGCGGTGGCTCACACCTGTCATCTCAGCACTTTGGAAGGCCAAGGTGAGAGGATTGCTTGAGTCCAAGTGTTCGAGACCAGCTGGGGCAACTTGGCAAGACCTCATTTCTACAATAAATTTAAAAATTAACTGGGCAAGGTGGCACATGCCTGCAGTTCCAGGTACTCAGGAGGCTGACATAGAAGGATCACCTGAGCCCAGTAGGTCGAGGCTATGGTGGCTGTGAGTGTGCCACTGCCCTCCAGCCTCAGTGACAGAGTGAGATTCCGACTCGAAAAAAAAAGAAAGAAAGAAAAGAAAACGACTGGGCACAGTAGCTCATACCTATAATCCCTGCACTTTGGGAAGCCGAGGTGAGAGGATTGCCTGAGCCCATGGGTTCAAGACCAGCCTGGGCAACTTGGCAAGACTTCATCTCTACAATAAAATCAAGAAAAATTGACCAGGCATGATGGTACATGCCTGTAGCTCCAGTTACTTGGAAGCCTGAGGCAGAAGGATCACCTGAGCCCAGCAGGTAGTCTGTGGTCATCATAAACATGCCACTGCCTCCAGCCTGGGCTGAGTGAGACTCCGACTCTAAATAAATAAATAAATAAATAAAGGTTCCAAGTCAGGACTCATCCCTAACATACGGGCTCTGAACACCAAGCCTAAAAGTCAAGCTGGAAATATTTGCACATTCTTTCTAGCTTGGGATGCCTCTCGCTCCCCTGTGACGGCCTCCTGGAGTGTCACCGTCTGACCTAAGGCTGCTACCAGTTTGCTCATTCCTGACACAGGAAAGACAGCAGAAGATGTCAAATCAGGGAAATGAAATGTCCAACATCACACACCAGCCCATCTTCATGGCAGGTCACAGCACCAAAGGCCCCAGAAAGTATAAGGCAAGTAGTTGAGAAGCAGCATTGCTTAGTGTTCAGCATCTCACCACTTATCTACGAGGCTCAGCTCTGGCCGAGAACAGTGGTTCATGCCTATAATCCATGCACTTTGGGAGGCTGGGGCAGGAGGATCGCTTGAGCCCAGGAGTTCAAGACCAGCCTGGGCAATATAGCAAGACCTCATCTCAACAAAATATCAAAAAATTAGCCAGGCGTGGTGGCACATGCCTGTAGTCCCAGCTACTTGGGAGGGTGAGGCAGGAGGATCGTCTGAACCCCGCAAGTCAAGGCTGTGGTGGCCGTGATCATGACACTGCACTTCAACCTGGGCAACAGAGACCCCGACTAAAAAAAAAAAAAAAAGATCCAAACCCAAGTGGTTTTTCCCCACTAAGCAACAGAAAGAACATCCTGAGGATTTATAGTCGAATCAGGCTCCTGCTCGTCTAGATTAAGGTAGCAATAATTTCACGAATTGTTTCCCAGGGAAGCAAATAGGACAGTTCGTCGTCTTCTCAGCAACTGAACTCACATCTCATCCATCTTTGTCACCTGTCACTAGGATACCTCCACCAGGTGCCTGACTTTATGGCTGAAACCTCCTTGTTCACACCAGGGATTTTTTTTTTTTAGCTGAAATTCACTTCCAGAAACTCACCAGCTCGTCGAAATGATCAGATCTGGTGCACTTATACCCATAGGGGAACATCAGCAGCTGGGAGTAGCTGTGGAGGGTGAGGAAGGCTTTGACCTTGCCGTGACCTTTGATAAAGTCCACGATGGATTTCACTTCAACTTCAGAGTTGGCGCTGCGTCCGTGGTACGAATCGGAACAGGGGTTGTTACTGGCCCCGGGTCCTGAGGAGATGCAGAAAAAACCCAGTGAGGACAGTGTGCGCCAGGAGACCCCATCAGGAGGGGCCAACACGTATCGCTGGGCCTCTTCTCGGGAAGTCGGGACCAGATGGTTCTGTGTTGGATCAAGCCTCTCCCTGAGAGCACAGTCAGAGCGCCTCCCCAAAGGGATTCTGGAAACAACTCTTCTTTAAAAAATATGGTCCTCTACGTGGCAGAAAGAGCCATCAAATGAGGTCATCTCCTCTCTATGGGAGTTGTTGGAAGAAAAGCTGATTTAATATTATAGATGGAATTCCTGCACGGGATGGGAGTTGAGCGAGTTCACTTTCTGGGACCTCGTCCAATTCTTAGAGTCCAAGAGGGAAAGATTCTATGCATCTGCGCTTCTAAGTCACAAAGCCACAAATGCAAAGGCCCTCTGACCCACCTTCTGTGGTGAGGAACTCGTGACTGCATTGGACAAAAGGCCACCTTTGACCTTGATTCTCTCAGTAACTACGGTAGCTCGAGACCACTGAAATGGGCCCATTCTAGGCCTGGCCAGGGCTCTCAAAGTTACCAAACCTCTGAAGGGATGAGGAGCCGAGATTTCCTAGGCTCGCTGCATGATACAAACCAAACTTCATCTTATATTAAAGTTATTCAGTAAAAAGAGGCTGACCACAGTGGCTCATGCCTGTAATCCCAGCACTTTGGGAGGCTGAGGGGGGAGGATCACTTAAGGTCAGGAGTTCAAGAACAATCTAGGCAACATAGTGAGACCCCCCATCTCTACAAAAGAATTTTTTTTTAAATAGCCGGGCATGGTGGCTTATGCCTATAATCCCAGCACTTTGGGAGGCCGAGGTGAGAGGATTGCCTGAGACCGCAGGCTCGAGACCAGCCTGGGCAACTTGGGGAGACCTCATCTCTACAATAAATCAAAAAAATTAGCTGGACGTGGTAGCACATACCTGTAGTCCCAGCTGCTTGGAAGGCCGAGGCAGAAGGATTGCCGAGCCCAGCAGGTCAAGGCAGCAGTGACCAGGAGCGTGCCACTGCCCTCCAGCCTGGGTGACAGAGTGAGACTCCAACTCAAAAAAAGAAAAAAACTAAAAAATTAACCCAGGGGTGGTAGTGCATGCATGTAGCCCCAGCTATTCAGGAGGCTGAGATAGAAGGATCACCTGAGCCCAGAAGTTCGAGGCTGCAGTGGCCGTAGACATGCCACTGCATTCCAACTTGGGCGACAGAATGAGACCCCAACTCAAAAAAAAAAAAATTCCAAAAGCCAGAGCAGCGAGCTAACGTTTTCTCTTTGAATCTATCTTGAAAAATCCATTTCTTAATCCTAGGTGTACTTCCTGTTCGTTTTCTTTCTGGAAGCATCCACAGATGATGTCATGCTTCTTCTCAGAAGGGCCCCTGACCTCTCTAGTGGCTGGCCCGGGACTTCCCAATCCTCCCAGCCTTGGGCGAGGTCCTCCAGTCTGGGAGGACTCACCCAGCTGTCTGTGGAGAGACAAAATATACCAGCTGCTCTCGGAGCTCAGTGGCGGTCCTGTGCTCTTGCAAAGGGCACGGACGTGTTTTTCCAGCAGGTTCATAAACGACCTGAACGCTGAAAGGGCGCAGCAGGCAGAGCCAGGCACACCGGCCGGGGCCAGCAAGGGCCGGATCCCCCGCACTCACCTCCAAAGCCCGCATCCCAGTTGCGGTTCGGGTCCACACCGACACAGAGGCTTCCAGACACCTTGGACCGGGTCTTCCGCCACATGCGATTCTTTCAAATCCCACCCAGAAAGAAGACGGAGAAAAGAAAAATGGGCGTTCAGCTTGATGCGAAGGCCCCTCCAGAGCTCTGTCCACTTCCCGGTTCCGTCCTGGGAAGGCCCTTCGGAGCCGCGATCCCTTCCCTCAAAAGGGTGTTGAGCCAGGCATGGGGGCTTACGACTGTCATCCCAGCACTTTGGGAGGCGGAGTCGAGAGAATTGCCCGAGTCCAGGGGTTTGAGACCAGCCTGGGTAACATGGCGAGACCTCATCACTACAGTAAATCAAAAAATCAGCCAGGCATGGTGGTGCATACCTGTAGTCCCAGCTACTTGGAAGGCTGAGGTGGATGGATCACCTGAGCCCAGCAGTTCAAGGCTGA